TCTTATTACATTAATTATGAAGTAATGTGAGGTAAATTTTGTGATTTATAATTTTTATCTTCTTTTCTTTTTGAAATTCTTATTACTTGATATACATTTTTTTCTGTTATTTTTGGTAGGAACAAGAACATATTTCAAAATAATTAAGGTTAATTCTCATTTTAATTTTATTTATGATTATCTATTACTTTTTATATTATTGTTAAAATTGTTTCATAAATATATTATTGGGGAACTTAATAATTGTGTTCGTTTTACTATTTTTTTATATAAAATTAACAGAAAATAGTATCAGATTAATTTTGGGTTTTGTCGATTTTTCAAAATTTTTTATTTTTTTGCCAAGTATATTCAACAACATGCCGTCGAATATAATATCACAAAAAAAAATATTCGACAGAAATAGGTTTTTGAATATAATTTCTAAAAAAAAAATAATCGATAGCTATTAGCTGTCGATTATATAGCTTTAATCGACAGCTAATGGTTGTTGAATATAACCTTTAAAAATTAAAAAATCTTTATCGTCAGCAAAGTTTTGTCAATTATGTTTATCTTCGACAACCAATATGTATCGATTAAATTAGTATATTTGACAAAAAATTTGGCTGTCAAATATACTCATTATCAACTGTACTTATACGACATACTTGGCTGTCAATTATGGCTGTCGATTAAGACATAATCGACATAAATATCTCTATATTCGATAGACTTTTCTGTCGAATATACTTTGTTTTCCAGTAGTGTAATGTCATTTTCTAATTATTTTGTGTTTGACTATGACAACTTAAGCTTTTGGGTACCCTTAGATATTGTTGTATATATGCTATTTGGATTTCATTTTCTATCGTTTTCTACATATATTCAACTTTTGAAACACAAAAAAGGCATAGAAAATAAAACACATAAAAACGTGTGAAAAAAATTTAGAATCATATAAAACATTGGTATAACAAATGACAAAACAAAATAAATAGATTTAACTCAAGAAAATATTATAAGTTAGAGGTGAAGTTTTTATATTTGAACTAGAAGGAAAATAGATATTAGTGAAAATAGATATCACAAAGGTGATGATCTAAAGTTTTTCCAGGAAGAGTGCAGAAGGCAGAGAAATGTTAAAATTTAGAGAATTTCGCACCTATTTTTTGGATAAAAGTATTAGAAATTAAAAGATAGTTTTTACATTTAATAAATTAGCCTTAAAGACTCCTTAATTGTTATGTAAACATTTTGTTTTGAACTTTATAAAAGATTTACAAAAAAAAGACTAATGACAATTATTTTCGTAAATCTTTAAAATAATTATGTGAATAAAATCAAATTTAAGGTTGAAATTGACAAAATATAAACTTTGAGGACTAATTTTAAAGCTTTCCAAAAGATAGGGGGCCATAGCCCCAAAAAAAGGCTAATGACATTTATTTTCATAAATATTTAAAATAATTATGTGAATAAAATAAAATTGTAAAATATAAAATTTGAGGACTAATTTAAAATCTTTTCAAAAGACAGGGGGTTGTAGTCCTTCTTGGTCTGTTCATGGCTCCGCCGCTATAAAGATGTAAGGAGTGACAAACAAAGAATAATATTGAGGAAATAAGAATAATTAAAGGGAGAAAGATTAATAACAAACAAATTATTAATATATAAAGAGAAAATGAAAGTAAATGTAAAGTAAATAGAAAACTATAATAATAAAATGTGAGAGAATAAAATAAGAGATGAAATCCTAAGAAAAATTAATGGAGGTAAAGTATAGGTACATGAAAAGATACCAAGAAAAAAAAAAGGATGTGGAAAAGAGATGTATATTGCTAGATAAAGATTTAAAGAAATGACTAAAAACATTAAAAGAGATGAGAGGATAATGTAAGACAGAATAATAATAAATAAATTACTAACATAAAGGGGAAAAGAAAGGGAAATAATGTAGATTTTTACCTTATATTGGTTAAAACTTATGACTTTGCAGATATGTGTATAAGTTTATTATATGTAGCACATAATTATTTGTGATTTTAAT